AAGCGAGTTACACACGTGGCTCAGACAGGAGAGAAATAGTCATATCTAAGCGTGTACTCTCTAAGGAAAGATCTATTCTTAACAAAGTAGAAATGATTAAATAGTGTTATTCTCTGAGGGGCATCTCATTCGATTCATCATTCAATAAGAAAACAAAATCCAAAGGTATTTCCGGAGCAATATCAAAAACGTACAGAACTTATGTGCCAATGTAATATAAGCCGATCGTGTATAATTCGCGCTGCATATACTCAAGTAATATCAATCGGTGGACCGATTTAGTATAGGACATGGTACACGAAACGTGTTGATGAAAGAAGATTTTGACTTGTGTCGAAATCATGACATTACTCAATATCAATGTCGATGACCAAAGTTGTTCATTTTTCAATGCCAACAGGAAATACTAGAAATCAGTATAGGAACATAGGGTCACATCGACGTTAGTGCGATAGTCAGTGATGCAACAGAACATGCGTTCACTGTAGTCGAGAAAGGCGTTAAGTACTTGCGCGGGATTCATATAACGACAGATAATGAGAAGAATTTCGTCAGGTAAGTCTACAAAGCCAGTGTGGGGTTTAGGCTCCTGGATGGCTATTTTTTCAGTCGAACAGGCAGATCGTATTGTTTCTTCGGTTTGCGTACTTGCTGTCGACCTGATTTTATTTTTTGCAGCCCACGTTCGGATAGTGTTTTTTGCCATCACATCCATAAAGTGGACTAATTGACATGAAATTGGTATGTTCTTCGGACGCTATGAAAATAAGAATGTGTATTCACCTTCTCGGCAACGTTTGTATATGTACATGTATATGGTGATCCCTAACAAGCGTGTAGTCATTGTTCTTCTCGTCAATCGACGGTCACGATACGTCAGACATCCTGTAACATTCTGTACTATTTCTCTCCGATGTCTAACTATCATCTACTGAAAAATGTAATGTACAATCAAACTGTATTGACTATCTTTGAAATGCATACAAGGTTAGATGAAGAGAAAAGTCCAAAAACAGACAACTCGAAATGGTGTCTTCGATGATTAGTTTCAGTTCGGTGGAATTAAATTGACATTGTCCGGCGTCACAGGTCCAGCGACATGGCCTTCGTGTTACGACGAGAACGAAGAGATCGAGTACTTCGGGACGAGAATTCTCTTGAGAACACGTTCCATTTTTCAAGTACAAATTTGGAAGATCTTTAGATGGGTCGGTGGGATATTAGTCCGTCAATGAGCATTGCACGTTTGGAAAACGATCATTGCCTACAAGGAACGTCGTTCGACTGTTTGGTCTGTGTCGACAAACGACACGTGAAGCGAACTTTTTGTTTCTGATTCAATTGATCTTTTGGGTGATTTGGTACGCGGAATGAGATGAGGTGTTCTCCTTGAAATTGCACGCTTGATTGGTGGAATCAACCCGGTAGTGTGCCAATCGATGCGAAAACATCCGTTGACACTGGTCGTGAACATGTTCGATTTGTTGGCTGATCTCGATCTGTGCGGCGTGTGAGGGTCGAGAGTTCACGTGGGTATCAAAGTGTTGTTCAAGGGATGTTTGTCATATATGTTGGAGGTTCTCTGGTGCTTTGACTGACACAGTTTTCCGCGAACGTCAGAGGCGACAACGAACGAATGCAATGTTCGCAGACTGAACCGGTTGCCAATAGCCGCCACCTGGTGCTGGTCCGGCTCGAAAATAATTCTGTCTTGCCAATCAAAGCTTCAGTTCACTGTAAATGTTGCGTGCTTGTAAATGTGAGTTCTGTTTGTTACGCAACACTTTTATTACGCAATGTATGATAATAAAGAAAGAAGAAGAGACAGAAAAGAAAAACAATGCGAGTATATATATCATAAGGACACGTGAGATCACACTGGGAAAATACCAACACGTCACGTGTGGTAACATGTGATTGAGAACTGTCCACCTGAACACCTTCCCCTTTAAGATTATCACGTGGGTACGTAGCGTTCGGGCGGTTTACGGTTTCGGCCAGGATATCTTGGAGACAGCGGACGAGGAGGTTGAATTTGCTCGGATTCCTTGCTGTTGAACAAATCATCGGGTAAGCTATCTAAGTCGAGTGATCGACGGCTTTGACCTTGACGCGAGCGAAGTTGGTTCTGGTGACGCTTCCAACATTGTCCATTAGTCAGCTGTAATTCATATACCATCGATCCAAGATGTTTTGTAACAATTGCAGGTTGCCAGTTGGGTCGTTTATTTAGTTGGTGACTCATCGCCCATACGAGTTGTCCGACATAAAACTTTGTTTTACTCAGAATTGTTTTTGACACGTTCGGTTTCAGTCTAACCAATGTAGTTCGAATCGGACGTTGAAGCAGCATATCTGCAGAAGGAATGCCGGTGGAAGTGTGCGGAGTCCATCGGTAACTTCGCAGTACGTTCCTAAGTGCGACATTCTTGTCCAGTTTCAACGTTGACGGACAAAGAGTTGGTGATCCCATTTTTTGCCAATCCTTGACACTAATGATAGTATTGTCCGCTCCTGTATCGAGCTCAAGCGTGCAGTCGTGGCCGTTGACGCGTAAAGATAACGTCGTTGAGCTTGACTATGTGCGTTGATTGACATGCTTAAGTTTATGCGACGTTTTAACCTGTTTTGTCGTCTTCTTTCCGTCCTTTTTCTTTTGACACACTCGCTCTAAATGACCAGAGCGTTTACAGAAGTTGCAAGTAAATTCACGGTACTTGCATTCTGAGCGTGGATGATTGGTTGATCCACAAGTTTGACATGGTTTGTACTCAACCTTCGGCGTTGGCTTGTTTAGCGTCGCCGGACGTTGGTTGAATCTTTTTGGTTGAACTTTGGCTATTGTGGAGTCTGTATGATTGATCGATGTTCCAAAATGACGAACATCCTCTTCTAAACGTTCAGCCACTTGAATGATTTTTTCAGTTTTCTCCAAATCGGGATCTTGCTCTTTGAGCAACGCTTGTCGAATCTTCGGATTATTGATAACGATAACATACATGTCTCGAAGTGCACGATCTTGCGGTGTAATAATAACTTCGGCGAAACGAGCGACTCAGGAAGATTGTACGTCGCATCTCCGACAGACCAAAGAAACAGGGCCTTCTTATCGTCATCCGTGTTGATACGGTTGGCTTTGAAGTAGAAGGTTATGCGATCACGATAGGACTGCCAAGTAGTCGTGCGAGGATCAAAAGCGTAAAGAGCTGGAATCGACGAAAACGTTTGTGGGATAACAGCAATAGAACTTGATTTGGACATCCAAAATGCTGTTAAGAACCAGTAGTATAGTAAATGTAACGAAAGAAAACTCGTCGCCACTGTAAATGTTGCGTGCTTGTAAATGTGAGTTCTGTTTGTTACGCAACACTTTTATTACGCAATGTATGATAATAAAGAAAGAAGAAGAGACAGAAAAGAAAAACAATGCGAGTATATATATCATAAGGACACGTGAGATCACACTGGGAAAATACCAACACGTCACGTGTGGTAACATGTGATTGAGAACTGTCCACCTGAACATTCACGACGACAGGCAACGCTCCAATGGTTTAGAAGATCTCGATTGTTCACGTGCTGGGCGAGTGTTCTCCCAAAATGCGAAGGAAGATGCCATTTGCAGTCGTGTTCGTGTCTCGACTGCCCTTTCGCTGTCGACATTACCTCTGTCATACTCGGCGATTCGATCTGGAAATTTCTTGATTGGTTTCTCCGCGGATCGGCGCGCCAATCAGTCTTGCTGTCTCTCTTGAGCAATGGTGATTTTTTCTCCGTGTTAATATTGAATGTCTGTTGATTTCAATCGATGACTGGAAGATTCTTTTCCGCGGCATCCGAACAGAGTCGGGTGTCGTGCAGCTGAAGGATTTCAAAGTTTTGGCACCTATCTGGAATGTTGCTCTGAGGTTATAACGTTTGTTGCGGTGGCATCTGTTTGTCCAACGAGCACCAAGAGTCCGTCATTTCGATGTCTTGAGAGAATCTTTCGAACGTTGTCGACATCGCTGAGACTCTCTTCTTGTAACAAGCGTCAGTTGAGTGAAGAAGAAATGAGCTCGAATTGTTGTTGTGAACCGATCCGATCGAAGCGGAGTTCGTCTTCTTCGTATCACTCACGTCACGTAAGTGAGAGAAAAGAACAAAATCGCTTTCCTTATACGTGATGCACAAAAGAATTTCTTCTGCTAATTAGTATTTGTTGAAAGAACATCGTCAGTATCTCCACTCAATACAAGAGCCACAGAAAAGGGATCTCTTTTCTGTCTCGAATGACTTCCTTCGTCTAGAACTAATCGTCCAAAAAAGTCTCTGCATTCGATGGATGATGAGGAAAGAAAACTCTTTCTTCAATGCCAGAGGCTCAATTCCAAGCATGTGTTCAGTGCTTGTTTCCTCGAATCTGTCTTCGGACATTGAAGGTCGCTTGTTACCAATGAAAAAGATTGCTAACTTACAAGAAATCAATTCCTATTTGGCTAATGATTGCTCCAGAAAGCCAGGTCACTCATCGAATCGAACTAGATGTGGCACTTTAACTTTACCTTAAACTTTAAACTTTAAAGTTAAAGTAACGCACTTTAACATTTTAACTTTAAAAAAGTTAAAGTTAAAGTGGGTATCTTATGGGTGTCTAGGGATGCACCAATTCATTTCCGGTTCTTGTAAGAACTGATGGAACCGGTTGAAATCATTTGATGCAAAACTTTTCCACTCGATTTTTTCACACAAACAAGGCTTATTTTGAGAAACAAACGTTATTTTAAAATAAAATTTTATGTAATGTTTTTCCATTTTTTAAAACTGGAGCAAAGGTTTTCGGGATCGAGGAATCGAATGGTGTGCTTGGTTTGGAAAACACTCAGATGGAATTTTTCAGTCATTCGCAGAACTGATGGCACCATCACGTCTGCTACAGTTTGTGACGGGGAAGAAAAATATTCGATTTTTCAATAAAATTAGCTTTTTTCATTATTATTACAACCACAGACGCTTTCAAATATACTCAATAGATGCAATTCTTCACGCTGCATCTGAGGAGTATATTTGAAAGCGTCTGTGGTTGTAATAATAATGAAAAAAGCTAATTTTATTGAAAAATCGAATATTTTTCTTACATAAGGTGCCGGAAATTCAAAAGTACCGTGGCAAAAACGAATCTAGTCGAATTATGTATGGTTGGATAGAGCTCGCCGACCTGATCACGAATATGAGCTTCAAAAATTTTTATGTCAATCGAACGGCAGAACAAGTTGAAAAACGAAAAAACCGCCTGTTTTCGAGAAATTGAAGGCTTTCACCACTTTGTGGGCCGCAAAAATTTTTCTCTCTATTTTATTTGAATTTAGTATCAAAAGTTTAGTAGATTCAAGTGACTTTGGAAAATGTTTGACCTCCGCCTATCGCCGTCGGTGGATGTCAGACCCAGATTGAGATTCGGCCGGGCAAACCTATCTCCTCCCTGGTTTTGAAAATAAACGGGCACTATTATACACCATTCGAGCCGCCTTTTGACGGGCTACAATAATATGCTCGCCTTTTTTCAAAAATATTTTTTCCCTTCAAAGAAGTCGGTCTTCTATATGCCTCACGTCACATCACAATACTTGCTATTGAGCTGCAATATAAGTTCAAAACTAAACTCGGTTGAAGTACGCTACTATGAGATGCAAATACGTGTTTCATGGAATTTCATATCGTTCCAAATCACTCTGAAGTGTTTAGGACGAAAAAATATGCTATCTTCTTCGCACAAATACTCTCTTCTTCTGATCTTTTAAGTAGAATATCAGACTGAATAGTAGCCTTCCGTCCCGGTTGGATTAGGAAGAACCTTGCTTACTTCTACTAGTGTGCTTATTACGGTCTTATTTATTGCTTTCGTTTGCTTCTCTCTTCCTTTCTCCCATTCTCTTTCGCTCACATTACTCAGAGCGGGTCTGCCAAAGCGAGTTGACCACTTCAACTTACTATAAGGTCTATACATTCCCTAACTGTCCTATCCTATCATCATGCCTAAACACAAAAAGCTAAAAGCCCACGCTCTATCTGCGGCAGCTGCTTCGTCAGTAACGCGAAAAGAGGGGAAAGTGAAGGACGTTGAAACTTTCGAAGGCGAAATCGAAGAGGGCGAACTGGAGACTATGAGTATGGAGGGGGAGAACGAAGACGATCATGATGATGATGAAGAAGAATACAATCCGCAGAAAGATGATACGTCATTCAAAGAACGCAGTGGAGAAGTATCTTCGAAAAGATGGATCATGCCAGATCATTCTCCATTTTACAGTAAAGGACGAGGACGTAGTTTCATGGTCTCAGACTTTCTCGTCGCGCATTAAACGGGTCTCTTCTTTTCACTCACTCATTCAGAGTTTCAAGCGGCATCGAAAAAATATCCGAGTCTATTAGAAGATAAAGAACAGATGTACAATGGCTATTCGGCAACAGCGGGAATCACCATCGGACAGGAAGCTTATTTCAACAATGAAACAATCCTTGCACAATTCGAGCGTCTCTGCCAACTCGTTGCAATCAGGTGCCACGGACCCTGTTTGTAATTCTTGCCGCCGTGGAGCTTCTTCTCTCTCTGTTTAATAAAAAATCCTCAAAAGTAACCCGAAAAAAAGTAAAAAATAATAAAAAAAACTAAAAAAAGGTTGTGCGTGAGTTTTTAGTAAACTTCCTCGAATCTGGGTGAGCTCTACGTGCTGAGGAAGAGATAACGTCGGTTTTCAGTCGATCCAACGGCCAACAACCCAGAAATATACTGCAAAATATGAGGAGATAAGGTCAGGTAATTTCGTATACTTTATCAATACTGAAGGCATATAAGAAGACCGACTTCTTTGAAGGGAAAAAATATTTTTGAAAAAAGGCGAGCATATTATTGTAGCCCGTCAAAAGGCGGCTCGAATGGTGTATAATAGTGCCCGTTTATTTTCAAAACCAGGGAGGAGATAGGTTTGCCCGGCCGAATCTCAATCTGGGTCTGACATCCACCGACGGCGATAGGCGGAGGTCAAACATTTTCCAAAGTCACTTGAATCTACTAAACTTTTGATACTAAATTCAAATAAAATAGAGAGAAAAATTTTTGCGGCCCACAAAGTGGTGAAAGCCTTCAATTTCTCGAAAACAGGCGGTTTTTTCGTTTTTCAACTTGTTCTGCCGTTCGATTGACATAAAAATTTTTGAAGCTCATATTCGTGATCAGGTCGGCGAGCTCTATCCAACCATACATAATTCGACTAGATTCGTTTTTGCCACGGTACTTTTGAATTTCCGGCACCTTATAAAAAAAGGAGTTTTTGAACATTTTTGGACATTTTTAAGTAGTTCTTTGAATTCTTGATCTCAGAAAAATGGCTTAAATTTTTTTTAAATATAAACAGTTGTGCAGAGCTCGACGAGCACTATCCAGCCATGTAAAAATATTAAAAAAGATTTTCTCCAATTTTGAATACTGGTGCTTTAATTGTTAACACCAAAACAGGATAAAGTTTCTGAAAATCTATTAAGTTCGACATTTAAAAGTTTTGATAAGTTTTACTATTTAGTACCAATAAATCCCATTTTTGGCGGGCTTTAACTTGGTACAAAATTCATTAGGTATGTAACTTGAAATCATAGCACTACTCCACTAGCAAAAGCTCATGCAAAATCCTGTACAATTGACCATTTATCCAAATACAGGTTCCCCATTTGCTATACTGATTTTTTTTTTACATTCGAATCTAGCTCTTTGTAACGGAATGGTATCGACTGACTTAATTGTAACAATCTGACAAACTAGATCATGAAGTGAAAACTCTTAAAATAGAATTTTGTCAAAAGATGTGTGTGATTCTGTGTTTTCGCTTCATAATAGCTAGTACCTGAGATAATGCATTGATCGAAATTGAAATACAAATGTTATAGAGGAGTGGACCCCCATGTGTCATGTCAGCGATACTGCAGAGTCGAATTATAACATTGATTTGAGACA